AGAACAAAACGACAGCAACTTGTCTTTTCCCCTTCCCCCAATTCCCCAACACTGTTCCCATCCCCCCAATTCCCCAATAAAAATCTTAAAAAAAAAAGAATTGCTTATTATCCCATCTAAAGTTATGATTATGCCCATGAAATCTATACTTAGTGGCATCCAAGGCCTGTCATGAGGCAAGTGAGGGGGAAAAGTGGAGAAGATTGACCCATAGGACACCACCTTGGAGAAGGTTCCTGGGTCTAGGTGGAGGAGGGAGTCACTTCCTAGGGGTACTACAAGAAGTGTTTTACAGTTCCTGATCACAGGTAGGACATTTTTTTACAAAACAAAATTACTCTGTTCCTGCAGAAGAGATATTCTTCTACTAAGAAGGGAGGAGCTTCTTAGTAGCCAGAGCTGAAGCACATGCAGACATTTCATATAGTCAGTGTGTGTGGGATTCTACAGTCAGTTCAGCGTAGCTAAAGTGAAAGGCACATAAAAGGGAGGAGTGGGAGGTGATGCCCGAGACATAAGGAGAGACATTAACTGAGGACATGAGGGCAGGAAGACTGCAAAATAGATGTTAAAAGGGGGGCGGGGTTCAAACCAAGATTAACTCAGTGTTTATTGGCTTATGGGTTTATTGGTGACCAGGGCCAGAAAATTTCTATAGTTTATTGCCGTGTGTACTGATGGATGTGTGGAGTCAGATTGTAGAGGACTGAAGAATGAAATAAGGTGGAGACAGAAAGCATATATAAATAGCATCTCAATAAATATAGTTATAAAGCACAAAGAGAAATTGTTCCATAGCTGGAAGGGATTGTGGGAATAAGAGATTGATTTATTTGCTTTTTGTTTGCTTTTCATTGTTTTTTAATTTTATTAAGTTTATTGGGGTGACAGTGGCTAATAAAATTATGTAGGTTTCAAGTGTACAATTTTATAATACATCCTATGAATATGGCATTGTGTGTTCACCACCCAAAGTCAAATCTCCTTTCGTCACCATGTATTTGACCCCCTTTAACCTTTTCTACTTACCCCCAAGCCCATTTTCGCTCTGATAATCACCATAGTGTTGTCTGTATCTATGAGTTCTTGTTTGTTTATTTCTCTTATGTGTTCACTTGTTGCTTTCAGTTTTATATCCCACATATGAGTGAAATTGTATGGTTCTTGACTTTTTCTCTCTGACTTATTTCGCTTAACGTGATAATCTCAAGATCCATCCATGTTCTCACAAATGGCAGTGTGTCATCTTTTCTTATGGCTGAATAGTATTCCATTGTGTATATATACCACATCTTCTTTATCCAATCATCTATTGAAGGGCACTGGTTTTCCATGTCTTGACCACTGAGAGTAATGCTGCAATGAACATAGAGGTCATATATCTTTACTGATAAATGTTTTCAAACTTTTTGGATAGATACCCAGAAGAGGGGTTGCTGAGCAATATGGTAATTCTATTCTTAATTTTTTGAGGAACTTCCATACTGTTTTCCATAATGGCTGTACCAGTTTACATTCCCACCAACAGTGTATGCGCTTCCTTTTTCTCCACAGCCTCTCTAACACTT